ATAGGGTAAGTGGGGGGGGGCAAGCAGAGGGATTAGGGGAGAGAATTCCAAAGCTTCGGGGGTTAGTGGCTGAAAGCACGGCCAATTATGGTGGAGCAGAGGGGACAAAGGACAAGCAGGCCAGATATAGCCGAGTGGAGACAGTGGGTAGTGGAGTGGGAGACTGGGGAGGAAGGTATTGGAGTAGTTGAGGCAGGAGGTATCGAAGGCATAGATGAGGGTTTCAGCTGCATTGGAGGTGCAGTTGGAGGTGGGCAATATGATAGAGGTAGAGGAAAGCTGAAATCCAATTCCATCCTATGAGATTTTTTAATAAAGCACAACCAATTTTACTAAATTACCTACATTTTATTTCCCACTGAATTAGAAACTTTTTTTTAAAAAATAAAAAAGGTCCAAAACAATCATATAAAAGTCAAAATGCACATTAAACACAAAGTATACTCGTGAGATTGCTGAGGCTCTGCACCATGGAGTCCTGTTGTAGCTCACTGGATTAACTCAATATTATGAGCTAGAGTTAATAGATTGCCAGTAGCAAGTGATAAATTTGAACTCCAACATTAGCAATAAGTAAAATGAACAAATCCCTCAGGGAATAGATGGGTGAGAATTTAATTATATTTGCATTTAATTAAATAATATATTCTTTAATCTCAAAAAGATAACAATGATAAAATTGTTGAAATGTCTCCATTCAAAAATAACTGAATCAAATGAATACTTAATGTGAAGGATCAAATATGTATCAGACTAAAGTTTTCAATACAGGTTCATAGTAGCTGAGGTAATGGAGAGTCACTGGAATTAGCCTCACTGTCTCTGGAATAGGGATGTTCCCATTCCAATTGCTATTCAGTGATACTCTCCCCTACATGCTGGGATGTCTGCAGATGTGAGGAGAAAACATGATTGGAGTTGATGGAGAATACTTGTGGTGTAGATTTGCACATATGAAGAATGGCCACATGGTTGGAAGTCCTGGAGGATGGTCGGTCAGTGTAAGTGGAACTCTCACCAAGCAAATTCACTGTCTTGTGAAGAATACGGATGAAAAAAACAGCAGCTAGCTGTCATCAGCAAGGATCTCTGGGCGCTCTTCCCAGAACTGATTTGCAATGATGTCAACATGAAATGGAAGAACTCTGCTGCGGGTCCTTTTGATGACAACATCTTTGCCCTCTTGCTCTCCCAGGGGTGTAATTCTTTTATTACTGTTTTCCTCAACCTAAAAACAGAACAAAAAGAGTTGCATGTGAAGCAGTGATAAAATGAGTTCAGGCAGGGTGTCTCTGGGTTGAACAGGCTCTGAGGAGATGCACTTGTCAAAGGCAAATAGATCCAGGCCTACAGAAATCTGAGGTAAATTGGAGGTGTCAATATTTTTTAACCTTGCTTGTCAAAGCCTCAACAGGAGGGCAGTCCTACCTGAAAAATACTGTGCTGCTCACAATTAACAATCATTGTCATTAGATTTACAGATCATCATCTAACTCTGGCTCAACTGATAAAAATGTTACATATTTTCACCCAAAGTCCATGTGATGAACTTCAACAGAAATCTCCAGCTAGCCAATAAGATAAGTAACCCTGGCTGATTTGTCGTCTCCTATCTGTATTACTGAGGTCAATTGGACCACCACTTTAGCATAAACGTATTCAAACCTAAGCTTTCCCAGTCTGTACGACTTAGCTACTCACTAGCTGAACCATCAGAGTAAGGCTGGTAATGTAGCTTTATTTATTGAATGGAAATAATCCTTACCTTGCACCACGTCAGAACAGTGCCTTTCCTATAAATCTCTGGCTCTTTATTATAGTTAATGTTGAACTCTGAAAATAAAATCTCATTTTTGTCTCCTGCAACAGTTCCCTACAAAATATAATGAAAACATGGAGCAATGAGTTAAGACTTATCAAGTGACAGGAAAAGCAGATCTTAAAAGTTAAGTTAAAGCAGAGTGCTCTGTGAAACCATTTCTTTAAATTGTATCAAGTTTTCTCACTTGCCTCTGATATTTAATTTGATTAATTAACTGCAAAACGATGCATTGTGTTAACTGTAAACACCCTCAGAACTACAGGGCAATAGCAATTCCTCGAAAATCAACCACTGATTGAGGGAATAGCACTGAAAAGCAAGCTACAGGCCAATAATACTGTATTTTCAGCATATTAATAAAAATCGTAAAATATTTTCTGAGTGATATTAGCCTGCTGGATTGTAGCACTGGCTCTCCTAAATTCAGAGCAAATTCCACTTTTCCCATATAAAAAAGATGGTGAAGATTATACATTTTCAAATAAAAAGTATTTGAGTGTTAATAATATTTGCATTTTATACAGCGCCTTATCACGTCTCCGAGATGTCTCAAAGCGCTTCACAGAATATACTGTAAAGTGAATTGACTGTGTATTTTGTTGGTGAAACACAACAGCCAATTACGCACCTCAGTGTCCTACAAACAGTGGTGGATTGAATGACCAAATTATTATTATTTTTTGAAGGAATTATTACCCCCGGAAAGCAATTCGCCAATCGATTAACAACTGGAATCCTACTTACTGTTATTATTAAGTCTGATAATAATGCCTCAAGAAAAAAACAATAATAAATTGGTCACTTCAATCCACGACTGTTTGTGGGACACTGCTGTGCGCAATTGGCTGCTGTGTTTCACCCACAAATATACAATCAATTCCTTTTACAGTATATTCTGTGAAGCGCTTTGAGAGGTTCAGAAAACATGAAAAGCGCTGTATCAAATGCAAGGATTATTATTATTATTACTGCTAGGTAAATAGAGGCGTGTGGAGTAAGGAAACAAGTTTCACCCTGCCCTGGAATTGAATCCAGATCTTCTCGTTGTGAGGTGAATGCTCTAATCACTGACTACAGGACTCCACATATTTTACAGCAAGTGGCTCATTTAATAATACAGACTATATTTATGGAAAGCATAATCCTCACAAGAGCGCTTTGCAAATTTTTGGATTTTAGGTTTGGAGAAAAATCTGCATAAGTCTGTATGACTACAATGACTTTGTTAATGCAATGTCAAACAATTAAGACTTGCAATTAATTTTTCGATTTGCAATTAAGCAATTCACGTTTTAAAAATTGCATACAACAATATGCCAAGTGCTTGCCTTTTCATACCTTTAGCCTCTCTTCAGATAAACTATTGGACAGACCACCTTGCTGCACCAGTGCCCAGAATGTAGTGTTGTACAGATTATTGATGTGACCTAGTGATGAAAACATACCATGCTTTATTATTCAAAACAGCACCTTATGGTGGAAATCTGACAAAAGGACTACCAGTTGACTGAGTTTACACAATTACAACTTACAGAAATTGGACCAATACAGGGAAACCCAGTTCTAACATGGCAAATTCGGTCTGTAAAAAGAAAGTCTGCCAATTCCATTTTCAGGTCACCACTGATATCACTTCCAGCATAGACAGGCTTTCTTCCTACACCTGGTACCCAAACTAGATAGAGTTCCACGTATGCATGCAATTGTCCCTTTATCTGGAGTTGAATGTGCACTCTCCCTTAAGGGATACATCCCGTTTATCTATTCCCAGGAAATATTGGATACAGGCTGGCAAGAGCTAAGGCTTGGGGATCCCAGAGTGTATTGTGCATTTGGGTTATGCTATCCCACTTTTGTCATCTTGGAGCCAGTTTATCCCCAAAGAGACTCCACTTACCTTTCCCCATACCAAAGGAGAGACTTGTTAGGATGAAAAATACATTACGACAAGTGGCAACTGAGGGGGGATCAATGGAATCATTCAAAAAGGGAACTAGATAAACTTGTAAGCAGGGAAAATAGTAATTGATATTGTGAAAAAGCTGGAAAATGGGATAAGAATAAAAAGTGATTTTCTCTCCTGAAAATTTCTGAATCTATAATGCAGCTTTAAGTGCTACATATAAACATAGTTTAAAATACAAAGCATTAAAAGTAGACAAATAACGTTCCATAAAACTCACAGTCTGCTTGTCTCCAGCTCAGATAGTCTCGCAGATTCTGGTTGTTAGGATACAAAATCACTCGCCCATCGAATCCAGGTGGATACAACAGTGTTTGGTCTTTAAAATGCTCACTCCAATAGAAAACAAAGCTTGAAGAAAACTGGGAAACCACGTGTGTCATGAATTTACTGAATAGCAAGAAGTGGAGAAAAGAACAGCATTAGATGAACAGAAAACACAAGTAATAATAATCCTTGCATTTGATATAGCGCTTTTCACATCTTCTAGATGTCTCAAAGCGCTTCACAGAATATGCTGAAAAGTGAATTGACTGTGTATTTGTGGGTGAAACGCGGCAGCCAATTGCGCACAGCAGTGTCCCACAAACTGTTAAAATTACTTTTAATGCTTCAAAAGCAAGTTTCAGTATTTCTAGTTATTCCCAGACAAATGAATTAGCACACCCTCCCAACCCAACTAGTCTTGGTTCCATAATTCTTAATTCCATTTTAAAACACACACACCCTTCAATCCCACAACCCATTTTGGTTACTGTATTAGGCAGTGTATTCACAAGACACTGCTTCTCACTAACTATATTGAGGGCTACAATTCTAAGCTTTTGGTCATGGGTCATACTTCGCAACTCAACTCGTAATCATGGAGCAATGAGACATAAAACTGCATTCCAATTCCTTATATACTCCTCATTTGAACCGTTCTACTGCTTCCACCTGCCAAGTAAAGCAGAGACTACACTGCCTCACAGCAACTAGCAGGGAAAGAAATTACAAAACCACTCTCCTTCCTGGGAGCGCTCTCAGTTTACCTGAGAATTCTGGCAATGAAAACTAAAGTGCACCATTCCCAGCATTGACATCAATCACCTCGAGGAGCAAAAAAAAATCTAGAAGCTCATTTGCTCTTAGTTTACCTATATATGCATTAAAATTCAGTGATCAAAAGAGGCAGTAGAGCACGTGAATATGAGGACATCAAAGTTCCAAAAGTGTAAAATGAATCGAATTTGTGATCAAATGGATTGTAAATGAGATATTGGAGCAATTACAAATTGTAACACTTTTGTAGCGTGGCTGGAAAAACAAAGCATAACATTTCCTTTGTATTGTACCTTGCTCTCCTTTTGAACCAATTGCTCTTCTTTTTAAAGACAAAGCTGTATTCATCACTTTGGCCGTACGCAATCACAATGTCACCCAATTCTTCCATGACGGTTGCTGCACATTTATTCATCAAGCGAAGAGCCCGCTCGTCGTTGGGTTTGGTGAAATTATGTTGATCTGCGAACCTGACAATCGGGGGGAATAGTCAGTGTAAAAATTAAAGTTGGGAAGCTGAGTATCTATCACATCTGTAACTTTTCAGTACCTTAAGAAATACCTCATGATTTTTTACACTTCTATGACGTTTCCTCACTGCTACCTCTGTTCCAGTGAAAACAGCCCCTGTTCCTCACTCTTTCCTTATAACAAAAGCCTCTTAGCCCAGTGAATCATCTCTCCACCCTGTCCAAGAGACCTCAACATTTTTCCTAAAGTGGGGTGCAAAGAACTGCACAATCCTGCAGCGTAACCAATCACTAACTTGTATAAATCAGGCATAATCTCTTTACTTTTGTATTCCTAAAATCCTATTAGCTGTCTTCGCAGCTTCCCCAATTTATTCTCCCACTTTTAGATTTGTTTATGAACTCCTATTAACTTCCATTTCGTTACAAAATTAAATTAATTCGAATTTAAGTGACATATTTAGGTAAACACAGCAGTTTACATACATTTAGAGTAAACTCTGCACCTTCAGTCCTTTAAAACCTATAAGGTATATTCCTTTCCTTCTTTCTCACATCCGTACCATGACCCGCTCTGCCATCCCCCAGCTCCGCAACATCGCTCAGCTCCGCCTCTGACGCAGGCCACCAAGCCACCCATCCATGCAATTGTTAGATCTAGGCTTGAGTACTGCAACTCTCTGCTTGTCGGGCCTCCCCAACTCTTCCCTCTACAAACTGCAAATCATACAGAACTCTGTAGCTCACGTAGCAGGCTGTGATCCTATCACCCCCACCCTTGCCCAGCTCCACTGACAACAATAAAATTATATTTATAGAGCGCCTTTCATGTCGGGAGGGTGTCCCAAAGCGCTGAACAGTCAGGTGTCGGAGCCCGAGCATGGGGGAGGGGTGGGGGAAGGCAGAGAGGTGGGAGGGAGATCAAAGGCACGGTCGAAGAGAAGGGACTTGAGACCGGCCTCAAAGGAGGCAAGGGAGGATGCGAGGAGAAGGGACCGTGAGATGGAGTTCCAGAGTGTGGGGGCAGAGAAGCTGAAAGCCCGGCCACCGATGGTAGGGCGGGTTGGGCGAGAGACATGGAGCAGACCGGAGCCCGATGAATGGAGGGAGCGGGCAGGTTGGTAGGGAGTCCGCAGGTCAGAGAGGTAGGAGGGGGCAAGGTGGATGGCCTTAAAGGTGAGGACGAGGATCTTGAACTCAATCCTCTGGAGGATGGGGAGCCAGTGGAGTCGGGCGAGGGTGGGAGTGATAGGGTCGCGGAGCCTGGTGCGTGAGAGTATACACGAGCTGCAGTTTTGGATAATCTGCAGCTTGTGAAGGGAAGAGTTGGGAAGGTCGATGAGGTGATGAATGTATGGGTGAGAGTTTCGGCAGCCTGAGGCGGAGTCTGGCAGTATTGCAGAGGTGGTGGTAGGCAGTGCCGGTCATGGCACTGACTCCCCATCCCCGAGAATAGTTCAAAATCCTCATCCTTGCCTTCAAAGCCCTCCACAGCCTTGCTCCTTCCTACTTCTGTGACCTGCTAACCCCACATTGACCTGTCCATTCCCTATGCTCAACAGCCTCTAACCTGCTCTACGGCCCCACCCGGCCCGCCCCACCATTGGCAGTCGGGCCTTCAGCCTCTCTGCCCCCACCCTTTAGAACTCCATCCCACAGCGCCTACCCCTACCTCTGTGCTCTCCACCTCTCCTGATCCCAACCCCCTGTTTGGGTCCCAATCCCTGACTATCCAGCGCCTTGGCACATCCTCCCGATGTGAAAGGAGTTATACAAATATAAGTTGTTGTTATTCCTCCCAATCTCTATCATCTTGGAAATTAAGTTACATTGGAAATACTTTGCTTCTTTCTCAGTAACACTCCTACCAAGCCCAGGACACTGCACATGGTTCATGCCTCAACCTACCCTTGGGTGTAAACCTTTTGTTTATTGGCCCAATCCCCCTTCCTCCCTTCCCCCAAAAAGTACAGATAAGAAGGTAATAATCCGTTTATGGAATACAATGCACTTTCATTTGTTTACAAAATGAGATCAATAAATTAAGTTGGCCTAGAAAATATGCAGTCAATACATTACAGTCATTTATGTGAAGCGCTTTGACCACCTCAACAACATTATAAGGAACTATATCAAATGCAAGGATTATTACAATTAGGATGCCAATAATCAATGGAGATAAAAGTGAATACCATTTTTCAACACAATCAATGCGATTCTGAATTCCAATCTCACAATACCTCTTTTTGCACTCACTTATGAAAATTCCGGCCATCCAGTCGAACTACAACCCAGCAATTTGGAAGACAGGTGTCGTCAGCTTCAAAGGAGCGAACGTACTCAAATTTACTCTTAGCCATCGTTCTGTAATTTACAGGATGCACTTGCAGGATATTCCAAGGGAAGCCACTTCCACCAATGTAATTGGAAAGGCCAATGTGAGTAGCTTTCGGAAATTTCTTCAATAACTTTCTACACAACATCAGGTTACCTGCAACTGCAATGAGATGCTAATCACAATTAAATTGTAACAGGACAAAGAAGACAAAAAGGGCAAAACGAAGCACACATAGAAGCCAAATGCAACCGAAGGTTAATATCATTTGTTAAAATTAGAGCGACTTAAGGATTATGATGCTGTGTTACAACTTGCACTTTCATATCAAGCTGGCTCAAGTCGTAGCATTCTTGCCTCTGAGTCTAGAAAGTTATGTATTCAAGTTCCACAAAAGGATTTTGAACACACAGCCTAGCCTGACATTCGACTGCAGTGCTGGGGGAGCACCTCATTGTCGTCGTTGTATCCTTCGAGTAAGATGTTAAACCAAGGTCCTAACTGTGTACGTAAATAAAGATCCAATGGCATTATTCTAGAAGGAAAAAGGCATCTCTCCTGGTGCTCTGGCCAACAATATCCCCAATAAAATTGGTCATTCACTTTATGGGACATTGTTGTGCGCACAATTGGCTGCAGTGTTCACCTGCAATAAAATTCCATGAAGCATCATCTTGACATGATGAGCTGCTATATCAAATGTACTGGACATGACCGTCCCAAAACATGAAACCATAGTAATTTACAGCACAGAAGAAAGTCATTCGGGCCATCATAACAAAGTAGTTCACAAAATGAAACCAAAAACGGTGTGAATGTTATGTAAGCAATCCAATTTGCACGTACATTGACATAAGGAGTCAATTTAATGAGATCACAGACTCATTATCTCCTGTCCCCCACCTAATTTTTTGTTTTTTCTTTCCCCACCCACTTCTCTGTTTGTCCTTATAAACTGCTCCCTTCCAACATCCCCCAGTTCTGATAAAAGGTCATCGACCTGAAATTTTAACCCACTTTCCTCTCTCCATAGATGCTGCCTGACCTGCTCAGTGTTCCCACCAACTTTTTATTTCAGATTTACAGAATCTGCAGTATTTTGTTTAGTCAATTTAATGTTCGGCCATGTGTTCGACACCTCCCGGCTCGCCTATTCAAATGCCCTCCTTGCCGGGCTTCCCAACTCCAGCATCCACTTTACATCAATTCACTTTACAGTATATTCTGTGAAGCGCTTTGGAACGTCTAGAAGATGTGAAAAGCGCTATATCAAATGCAAGGATTATTATTATATATTATTATTATCCACAAAATCCAGCTGATGCAACTCTGCCGCCTGCATACTCACCCGTACCAAACTTCGTACCCCCATCATACTAGTTCTAGTCACGCTCCACCTGGCACCTTATCGCCAAATGGATCGATTTCAAGATCCTCAAATTCATTTTCAAATCCCTTCATGTGCTGGATCCTCTCTACCTCTCCGACCTGCTTACTCCCCAATCCATTACCCGTTGCCTCCGCTCAACTGGCTCTGGCCTCCAGCATTTCCCTGCTGCCCTCCATTCCACCGTCGGTGACAGCACGTTCAGCCACTAACGCCCCAAAACTCTGGAACACTCTTCCTCTATCCCTCCGTCTTGCCTCTTCCTTCCCCATCTTCAGATGGTGCTTGAAGGCCTTTCTTTTCGACTGTGCCTTTCATCATCTCCGCCTTCCCCGGCGTAGTGCTCTGCCACTTTCAAGCTCTCTGAGACGCTACCCTGCATAGCTGTATACATGCAAGTTGTTGTTGTAATGTTATTTTTTGTGGGGTGACTTGGATGAGGGAGATATTGGCTGATGATCAGAAATCAACCAATAAAAAAATTAAATACATCTAGCATCTTATTCCATCAGTGTCACACTTCTCGAAACACTACCATCAGTCTCACACTTTTTGAAACAGTGACAGAGGTGTGGTGAACGTTATACGAACAGTGATCAGGGCTTCTGTGCTGTAATATGTTATGGTTCTACAGTTGCACGGCCACACTTTGACATCACCGGTCAGCAGCAAGAGCCAGGTCTGCTCTCTGTCCTGAGCCCTCCCTCCCTCTGTGTATCCTGAGCCCTCCCTCCCTCTGTGTATCCTGAGCCATGTCTGTACTCACACTCTCTCTCTCTCGGTCTCAGGCTCTTTCTCTTCCCCAGGCTGCCCTCACTCTCTATGTAGAGTCCCGAGGCAGCTCTTTTGGGGGGTGTGTGTGAAAGTGCTCTCCTCTCTCTCCCCCACCACCCGTGAGGGCAATTATCCCTCCCTGGGCCCGGCCTCTCTCTCGGGGCGCCTGGCCCACTCTCTCACCTCCGCCGATCACTTGCTGCACCGGGTGGGGGGGGGGGGGACATGACATCAGTGCCACATCACTCTCACTCCCTCACTCGGGGCACCTGCACTTACTTACGGTTGCGATATGCACAATAAACCCGGGAGCCGCCGAGGTTATGAACCAGAGCACTTCACCGCAGGCCCTTAACGGAAATGCTCCGATCTGAGGCCAACGGTGACTAACCTTCTCCCCCCCCCTCGCCTCCCGTTGTGGGTCTGCGGGTGCGTGTGACCGACACGGCCCGCGCTTTCCAGGACACACGTGGGCGGCGGCGGCCCGGGCCCCCAAACCCAAGCCGAACATTCAGTAACGTCGGGCGGACAAAAACAAACAAACATACCCGGGGATAAAGCGGTGACCACCAGCGGAGTAGCCGTCTCCCTCTCTCTCTCTCTGGCGGCTCAGTCAAGCGACGGGATGCGGTTGCCACGGTGACAGGAGCCATTTCCGGTCGGTCGGTCACATGCTCAGAGGGCGGGAGGACGGGCAGGTTAAAAGTGCGCGTGCGCGGCTCTGGCTCAAGCCCACACGTCAAAGGCACGGCTCGGGGCTCCTCCCCCTCCCCCTCCCCACCCGTCCGCCCCCGCCCTCCCGCCGTGACGTCACTCTCCCGCCCGATTGTGACGCACGTGCGCGGGTGCGCGGGCGCGGGGTTGGCGGGGGCGGGGGCGGGGCGGGGGCGGCACGTGCTCGGGGAGCCAATGATTTTCAAAAAGGTTCGATCCGTTTGTTTACCAACGAAAGAAACCCAACAGAGAGTGTGTGTGAGGGAGTGAGGGACCCATCGACTGAGATCACAATAAAATAATGATCACAATGGAGGCCTCTCCGAATAAAACTATCCAGGTAACAGCCGAGGAGGACGAGGAGGTGGCGGCGCAGGTGAAACGACGGGGCCATCGCGGGTGGGGGCGAAGGAAACGCAGGAGCGAACCTTTTTCTTCTTTTTTTTTCCTCTCTCTCTCTCTCTCTCGACAGCAAAAGAGGGCGAAAACTTTTGAGGGGCAAAGTTTTGACAAAAGACCTGGATAATTGAGGCGCTGTATCGGATGCAAGGATTATATTCGTTGTCCTTATCAAAAACAAGGCGGGGTTGTTTTTTTTTTAACGCACCGTGACCGGAGCCAAAGGTCCCAAATAAGTTTTTTTTAAGCACCGCCCACCTCTCGCTCTCTCGTGTATTTTTTTTATATATATATATAAAGAAATTGTGAAATGATTCATAACTCCTGGCACTCTTATGAACAGTTGGCACTTTTTTACGGGGGGGGAAGAGGGGCAGCAGCTGAAGTTTGCCCATTGTTGTTGGCGCAACCACTGAAGCAATTTCTTTTTTCCGTGTGTGTCAAGGCCAAAAGGGCGTCCTTTTAAGTGTCTCTTCCTGTTTTGAAACCCGAAGGCATTACTTAATTCGCCCTTTTTTTTTATTGCCCCACTTAACTTTGCACCAAAGGCAAGTGGGGCGGGAACCCTTCGCTTTGCCCATCTCATCCCGACAGTGGAATAAACGGGGTTGGAAGTGTGCACGTGTTAGGTTTTCATTTGGCAATCGGGCAATTGGAGATGATAATAATAAATAATGATGAATGATTGCCAAGGAGTAACCTCATCAACATATTTATGCCTCAAACCCAAAGAGTAAAACTCAAGAGGTTTATAGCAACGATAGCAATCCCAAGACACATATTTCTAACATGTATTGTGCAGTTGGTTTTATTTAGCTTTTACTCTCTTGGTCTGTGACTGGTCTCATGACAGACATTGACAGTCAAGACACTCCATGATGTTGAGGCGGGATAACATCCTCATTGTAGGATTACCGATTGTGATGTAACGATTGCAAGTTTATTGAGTGATAATATACAGGTGATTACTAGAAAATAAGACGGCCAGCCTGATAATCTGCCATTTCATATTGCTTGACATTGTGACATCTTGTGTACTAAAGAGGTGCAGATGAGTGTTGGACCACATCAAGTAAGAACTACAAAGGTAGTTTTACTGACAACCTTTAAAGAAAAAATAGTTTTGTATACAAAATATTGGGTATAATTTTAAAAATTTCGATATTGATAGCTAATATTGGTTTTGAGGATTGTCAATTTTCAGTTGTTGGGTAATTTTTTTATACCTCTAAGACTGACACACACGTGTGAAAGAAAATCTTAGTACGTAGTCCCGTTCTCTAGGAAAGAAAGTTTGATCACTATGAAAAATTGTTAGTCAGCAAGAAAAAGTAAAATATTTACCTTCGTGGATGGTCCTCTATGTTCTTTGTGTTGAGGACCATTCTGTAAGTATAGGTCATAGAGCTTATCAGGAGAAGTTTCCGTTCCAGAGAACTTTGATCTCAGTCTTGTTGTCTCTTGGCTTTCCTCTATTCCATTCCTTTCCTGCTCTGTACAGAATGTTCTGTTCTTGGCACATCAGTTCTTCAGAACTCTGCACCTTAAACACCGTTTCACAAAATGCAATGAAGGTAGTAACTAACAAGTTAATTTTATCTGTTTGGAATATTGAATAGTCTAAGCAGTTAAGGTATTTTACACATAGGATTACATTTTCGTTATGGCTGGATATGGAGAAATAAACTAGCATATGTTGAAACGTTTATGCTCCTTCAAGACCCTCCTCTTCGACTGTGCCTTTGGTCAGCCTCCAACCCCAACCCTTCCCATCCTCCATCCCTCCTGATCTCAACTACTAGCTCGGGTGCTGGTCCCTGACTGGCCAGCGCCTTGGGATGTCCTCCTGATGTGAAAGACGCTATACAAATGTAATTTGTTGTTGTTATTGTTTACATTTGATATTACACTGAGAAAAAATCAGACCTAAGTTGCTCTAAAGGGCAGGTGGATGTCAATATGATGTACGGAGCATCAATTATTTGAAGAAAGTGAAGAATAATTCTCAATGTAAGTAGTTTACTACTTTCCGTCTTCATTTATGCCCTCCAAAAATGTAGAATAACTGATCTGAAACTTTTTATCTTGATATTTCTTTGGCTTCCTTAAATATACTTGGCTTGTAGGCCCCTTTATTGGGATCAAGAATTAATGGGATAAAACCTACCTAGGGGAGGCTTTTCTTATGATTGGGAATATAACACTGTGTTTTTGGAAAACCTTTAATGTGATTAATATAGAAATGTTTTTTGCATTTTGAAATATAAGGCAGAGAATATAAGATAACATGTAATGAGAAAGGTCCATATGCCCATCAAGCTTTGTGAGTGTAATCACCCATTCGATCTCCTGTTGAAAACTCTGCAATAGATACTTCTGAAACCCAAAGGTAATCAAGCATAAACAGTAGAACATTCATCTACCATACAGCTCCACTATTTATATCTGGCACCCCTCTCCATGGACATCCCCCTATCACCAAATAGACCCAGCAGCACTATGGGCCATGTCCCTTTCATGCTTTCAATGAAAGTAATTTGATTGAGGGAGGCACAAACTATATATTTAAATATTAGGAGACTTGTGTCCTATGGAGTATGTGTTCATCTCAGTCTATACCTGTAGTTATATGCTTCAACATATTCCTCAAGAGATATTTATCCAATTGTTTTTGAAGATCAATCAGCACGTCATCATCTGTTTCTATTGGGCATCTGTTCCATGTGCCCACTAACTTATGGGGAAAAAAATCTATCTTGTCCAAATTAAGCTTCTTTTATCATTCTAAACTTATGCCCTCCAGTTTTAGTCTCGCTTGTCAAAATCAAGTAGTTTACTTGCACCTACTTCATCTATGCCTCTCATCATAGTAAAGACAGGATGGCACAGGCACAGTGAGCTGAATGACCTCCTTCTGTGCAGTAAGATTCTATGATTCTCTGAATTGGATCATGTTCACCTCCATTTTTTCCCCCCGATAACATGTTGAGCTCTATGAGCTCTCTTCATAACATGGAGCGTTAGTTCCAGAATCATCATAGTTGTTGTTCTCTATATTTTTCCCAACACTATTGAATATTCTTTTGAATGAATAATGGAAAAATGTAACATGCATTTAAGATGCAAAATTTGAACACAGATATTTACTTGTTGAGGAGGCCACATTTACACTGTTGGATGTTGCTTTCAGAAGGTCATTGATTCATTGAGGAGAGTTCATAAGCAAGCAAAAATGATGATTCGGGGTTTTAGAGCTCACAGAACTAAAAATAATTAGATTTAGAGAGGTATAATTCACATATTTAAATGCTACAAGCTATGGATTATTGAAGACAGATAAGCAGGATATTCAACTTGGACTGTTAGAGAATAGCAAGAGAACACAAGCAGAAATTTTCTTTTTTACCACTGCATAGTGGATATGTGGAACAGATTCCCTCTAAGTAGCATTTAATGACATGCAATGTACTTAAACCACATGTGATAAATATTTGGTTAGAATTGGAGTGAAGGTTATATGATTAAGTGTAGACAGAGATGTATACATCTATAGTTATTTTTGTCTGTTGCAACCATAAAACTTGATCCGTACAAAAAAAAGAACCTCTGTTGATTAATGAAGGTTGTAAAGTTACAGATATTGTGAAGATTTGCTTGATTACTTTTGGAAAACTTTCATTCATGGGGTCAAATAAGATTATGCAGTTCATTATAAAGCAGATTGTACCTGGCCTGTGGACAGAATGGGCTTGATGGCCTGAATGGCCTTTTTTCATTGCATGCTTTCTTATCTTTTCATTTACAGATGAAAGACTTAACTGTTTGGAGGTTTGGGAGGAATCCTTAGTAGAAATATCCTCCGCAAGATCATCTTCAGGCTGGAGTGGCACATCAGCCAGAGTGCAACAGGATAATTCCCCATCATTCCTTTCAAGATGGCCTTCAGCTAACTCTATGGAGAACTGAATGGCCCCCAGCATGCCATGGTAAGAGGAGGATTGCTGGAAGTGTACAGCAGCAGCACATCAACTGAAGAGCTGACCTGCTGAGACAACCATGCTCTATAACATTGCAAACAAAACTTTGCAATTGACTCATGTCCCAGCACTTGTGGTTGAGCTGACATTGTAGCCCTCCACATGTGTATCTATTTTTTTCTGGCATATGGGGAGGGAGTCTAGGTTCCTCCTGCATGATCTGAGATTATGAAAGGGAAGATGAAGGGATAGCACCTGTGAACTCTAGCTGATGTGTCCGTTTCCAATGTTGGCCACATGGGAAATTTGAGAAAGGTTCTGCTATCCAATTGTTCATCGAAAGAGCTGTTCATTGCATGGACTTGTTGTCAGGTTTCATCACTTTCTTCACCAGAACAGATTCGTTGTAATATCCTGCATTGACCATTCACAATCATGATGCTGTATTATTGTATTGACCCTGGGAATGTGGAAGAATAGCTGGAGATACGAAGACCAGATTTTTCAGAGTAGATGTTGGATTATACAATAAAGACAATAAGAAATAAGAATCAACAACAACAACATCTTGCATTTATATAGCGCCCTTCATGCCATGTATTGTCCCAGAGTACTTAACAGTGGTGGAGTCTGACCCGAGCCAGGGGGAGCGGGAGGTGACCGTGAGCATGATCAAAAAGGAAGATCTTTAGGCGGGATTTGAAAGTGGGGTGGGAGGGGGCAAGGCAGAGGGATTGGGGGAGAGAGCGGAGCAGATGAGGGATGAACAGGAAGCCGGAGCCAGCCGCTGAGCGGTGGCAGCGGGTGGTGGAGTGGGGGATGAGTAAGTCGGAATGGTAGGGAGGAATGAGGGCATGCAGGGATTAAACACAATTACTTAGAATTTCTGGAAAGGAAAACAATTTTGATCCCAAGAAACTTTTGCTCTTGTTTTTAAATACTTGCATCCAATTAATTGCAGTGAACAGAACACATTGGTGTCTAACAACAACAACAACAA